ACATCCTGAACTAGAAAGCAAAGTTTCAGCACAATTATCAAGGACAGGAGTATACTTTCAGAGTTATATTAAACGTGGTCTTGCAAATATCGCAGCAGAGGAAGATGAAAAAGCAAAAGCAAATATCATCGCAGAAGCTAAATCATTATGTAAGTAATTATGATAATGATAACATACCTTTATTAATAGGGATTAATAGTATTTTTTATTTTTCCTCTTAAAAAAAAAGTTCCTACAAATAATAACAATATAGAAAATCCTAATTTGTCAGAAGGTAAAAATATATAAATATTTTTTATATTTTATATATAAATATTTATTTATTATGTTAATATTTTTTTTGTTAGATGATGCTTATAAACAAAAGTTACTGAGGCTACAACAAGTATTTGGTTATAAAAACGATCAAGGGCAGCATTGATATTTTTTATTTATTTATTTACTTTTTTCTTTTAAAAATATTGAATAATAAAAACTATAATTCAAATTCAATTGATTATTTGCGTGCAGTTTAAACCCTTGTAAAAGAAACCACAAATATTCTCAAATAAGCATGCAATTTTCTTGATTTTAGCCCTTCTTTATATACACTCAATGGACAAAAGTTTGTATCCATAAATTATTTTGAGATTTTCTCAAAATTATATTAAATAAATATTTGTGTTCTTTACATCATTTCAAAGTTCTGGTTCTTGAGAAAATTTTTTATTAATAACAAATTTTTATCTTGTGAAATTTTTATTATGAAAAAATTTGACTTTAAAAATTATAAAATGGATGATCAATTTTAACAGATAAAAATATTATTTCTTACTATCTTAATATCTAGTTGACCAACCATTGTTGGCAATACATTCTTCTATCCTTCTGGGCATACTATCAATCAAATTCAAATATTTTTCACAAGGAATTTTGTTCCCAAATTTTTGGATGTTCAAGACGATTTTTAATCTTTCGGCCAAGTTCATCCCACAAGTGCTCAATGGGATTAAGGTCAGGCAATTGAGAAGGCCAATTTTCAAGAAGGATGTGCTCATTCTCGGACATCCCTGTTAATTCACAATTTGTTCCCATTTTTAAAAAAATGGTCATCTATTTCATGATCCCACAATTTTAATGCCAAATTTATTTTTAATGTAATCATAATAAAATTTTTTTTAAGAACCAATGCTTTCAAATGATATAAAAATCACAATTATTTATTTGGTATAATATTTTTAAGAAAAGTGAAAGACAAAAACAAAACAATCATCAATTTCATAATTTTAATGCTGATTTTATTTTTAGTTCTATCATAACAAAAACTTCATAAATAAAGATTTAACAATAATAAAAAACTTTTTCAAGAACCATAACTTTAAAATGGTGTAAAGGTCACAATTATTTATTTAGTAGGATTTTGTAAAAATGCAAAATAATTTTTGGGTACAAACTTGTCCATTGAGATAATAATAAATACAAGTTCCGAATTTTGCAATTCAATTCTTTTATATACATTATTTTGTTTTCCATTTTTGATCTTCGTGTAATTGAACCATCCATAAAAGAAACGATTTTTGGACATCTTTTCCACAAAAAAAAAAGACCACCAGAAAAAAATCAATTTTTTCGACGACCATTTGTTTTTATTTCTTGATTTTTTATTTTAATAAATAACATTACCAGAATTGGAATTTTATGCTAATATAATAATAATTGTTGGCCGAAACATCTTAATTCCGAGTTAAATTATTTCATTATTTTTATTTACTTATTTATTTCGACATGTAACAAATGTGATCCATATGTTTGATGGATCAACGGCCACAGAACATACACCACATTGAAAGTCCATATTCAACAAGTAATTTTTCTTCGTACTCCATTGTTCAGTTTTAATGATCATCCCCTAAAATAAATATTAGTGAGAAAGATCACTTGAAACAAGCATACATGCTATTCCAAATGTACTAGGGCTTTTACCCTTAATTCATAGCATCTTCCATGACATTGAGGATTACAAGGAATTTAGCAGCCTCAGCAGGAAAAGTCAATTACACCAAGGATGTAAGCTGATATAAACCATCATGCTCTAATGAGACTCTCCAAAATTCAATTCTAGTTCCTATTACATAAACATATAATTAGAATATTGCTCATCAGCTTTGATCACTTACCATTCACAATCACACCATATGTTTCGTCATGGATTCCTATATCCTGTGCATGGTTGGTTTGTAACAGCCTTGCAATTTTCTGTTGTTTGTGGCTTAGCTTCACCAAGCAAAACTTCTTTGTCATATTCACAAAGCAGGAGAAAACCTTGTTTTTTCCCATGTACAACACCCCTCTTTGCACATCAAGTCTTGAATGAAATGCCTTTGCCATTTGCCCTGAAAATTAAATTTAAAAGCATAAATGGGTTAATCAATAGATACCTTTACATAAGTATTCGTTATATACAAGTTGCATAGTTTCAAGGATGTGAATATCTTCATCCAACAAATTCTTCCATGTGGTAAATTGTAAAAGCCATACAAGCACCATATTGTTAATATATACAGATAATATTGAGTGTCATAAATATTTGAAGCTTACTTACAAATTATGCATGATGAGTTGCATTGAATCAAATATCTTTTTGTTTTCTTGACTCTCCAATGCATACTTCTTGCTCCAATTTTGTCTCCACAAATCTTTCAATTCAGCTATTTTATTATTCATTAAATACTTACAATAAAACAGGTATGATTAATCAATGTCTTGAACAATAGTGACTCGCATATTATGTAAATTTATAAACAATATATGGTAATGACACCCACCACTTCTCATCAGTACATGAAATGTAAGTTGACTTTCCATTTTTCCTTAACATCATAATTCTTTGCTGCCTTTCTACAAAGTTCCTGGCCCTTTACACTATCCCTAAGCTGAAATCACCCCAAAGCTTATGGACTCATGAATTGGCTCTGGGAGGTGGATTATCTTCATGAAGACAAAGATATTTATTATTAAACAATTGCTTAGCAAGTTAATCAAACCATTTCTGCTTTATACTAACAAATATATAACACTCTTCTCATTTTTTTCATTTCCAACCTTGGGATTAGATATCTTTTCTTGGTAGTAACACCTTTTTCTGAGAACTATAATGTATATGGCAATCTAATACAAAATTTTGGAAATAACCTAAATTATCTTTTTAAAAAATGTATTTAATTTAAAAGAATTAAATTTGATTCTTTAAATCTAGAGGCTTAGTTAAAGAATATTTATGATGACAAACAAATGATTGATATGTTTGTTTTGCATAATCGTTATTAATTCTAAATAATTATAATGAATGTAAGTAAAGTAACATGGTTGTCAGAGATCTCTATCTCACATGGAAAACTGCATGCACTTTGATGATTTGGGAACACCAAGAAGCAACTCAATATGCAATGTCTGATTATCAGATGGAAACTTACTTCAAGCTCAAATTATTCTTTTATTCCTCACTAATCTGACCTGCAACAATCAAAGATACAACAATGCAATTAATTTCGGGGTTGCGTGGCTCTGAGGTTTATTGGAAATTGTATTGCTGTTAAAAAGATTGCTAAAGGTTCTCACTTGTCCAAAGCCTACCAATATGTTCAATTTGTCTCACCCATGGAAAAAAATTTTCCATAGGGATGAGGTGTATTTGCATGACAATCGCATGTTTGAGGGAGGAAAATTTTATTAAAGCTGACACCTGTGGTCAATATCAATCAGGTTTATTCATTTTGAAGTGGTTGTTGAAATGACTTTTAAGGAACTCTACAACTTGTATATCATCGGCATACATACACACACAAGACATGCATACAAAAAAAAAGCAGCCAAGACATTAAAGTTTTTCCATCACCACTTGGGTTACATGGTGATGGACCATTTAAGGATGCCAGTCGCAATTTTTGATAGTAGCTGTGACTACATTTGTAACCATTTTGCTTCCTTTTTTAGATTGCAACATGAAACATTAGGATTACTGCGCCACATATTGCGCAGTACCACATGTACAATTATTCATATTCATATTTCTATATTTATATTTCAAGAACTTATTCAGCTGATGCAAATATTTACTTTAAATTATTAATTATTATTTTGTAATGCTCAGTTGACCCAAATATTTATTTATTAATTATTTATAGATAGAAAATTCAACATCAAAAATTCTAGTTGATATAACAATTATACTAGAGACAATCAAATTAGTTATTATTGTAAATTAAAAGGTTATGCAGCCATCAACATATTATTATTATCTTCATTACAATTAATGGTGTAAGTAATAACATTAAACAGGATCTGATTTATTATTGTTTCTCATATGTAAAAAAATAATGTATTGTTGATTTTTTAGTTCTTTTATATTCATCATACTGCAAGCGTGCAATCCAAGTTTCTTAATTAATAGGTTATTCATAGCTCAACACACAGCCTACTTGCTGACTTACAGTCAAAATTAATAAAAATATAACTTTTATCCTCCTGGATAAAAGGGTCCCTAGGTTCTATATATATAATTGTATCCCAAAGGTGTCCCCTTGAGAGGTGTCTCAATAATTAAAAATGTTGGTTACTTGCTACGGGTAGCAAAGGTTCCCCTTTGTGGTTTATTAATCAATTAGAGATTATTATTTTAGGGCAAAATATGATATGTGTTTTATTAGTGATAATAATAATATTATTACAGATGTGTTGGGAAGTATTAACTATTAGATCAATAATTAAAAGATTGTTTTTTGAACATAATGATTCTGACTTGGTCTAAAACCAAGTCTTTTTATACCTCTTGGGGTATTACAAATAACATGACTTTTACTCTATTTTGTCCAATAAAATATGCTTATTAATGTAAAATAAATATTTGGGTCAACTGAGCATTACAAAATAATAATTAATAATTTA